TGGTTAGAAAAATGTGCTAGCCGCCCTCGAGGGAAAGTTGCTAGTGGGAGACGCCGCTCGTTGTAAAATAGGTCTCCCCTATTTTCCCGTAGTTGGGACAAAGACTGTTTGTCTGTTTGAAGGACTTTAGTTGACTAAATATTAAGATTTATAACGGGCCCTCGGGCTAGCTGAACATGTACTGCGGAGACGCATCGACATCTGGCAATCATCTTACTCGAAGAATAGGGTCATCGTGTGGCGAGCCACGGGACAGAAACCGTTGTAATGTTTACTGTTGCGTGTCGCCACGAATATTCCTTTTAAGGGGAGCTATAGAATTACTCCATACCTTTGTTAGACAAAGCGTTCATCCCGTGACCGCGGCTACGTTCGGCGACTGACTGTCGCCTCGAGCCCAAGCTCCTTATCACAAATCTCGAACAATTACAATCGGATCGAATAACTACAATTGTTTAATTACAGCTATAGAAGACTCTAGATTACAATGTTACGGGATTATCCAAATTCTTTCATCTCCGACATCATCATCATCCATATATATATATATATATATATATATATATATATATATATATATATATGAATAAACGTAAACTATAAATGAAACGTTACTAAACATTACTGTATGAAAAAGCATGAAATAGAATGCTAATTATTCCATTATTCAGTCCTGCAATTAATCAATGAACTGTACGAAACAAAATCAAAGATTTAAATAAACTTATATCGAACTTATGTTTCAAAAGTTTATGATACAAGCCACCGGTAATAAAAACGATCAAATAGTCTACCAATGGAGAAAAACAGAAAAAAGTCTCGCTCTTCGACGGTAGAATGGTGGTATCCCGCTGAAAGTGAGTCTAGACGATTCTTGATTGGCTGAAGCGACGAGGCTTCGTTTCTATGCAATGCGCGCGAGAAATTGAAATACCAAACACTGTAAAAATTTTCTTACGAACTTATGTACTGAATATTTTCAAACGAGATAACTATAAGAATTTGAATACTAAAGTGCACACGTGTATATGCGTACATCACAAACATGATTTCTTTAAGAAAACCTTGTATTTTAACAAATATTTTCAGAATGAACATATTGTTCATTATGATTTTAAAATGCGAATTTTAAGTATTATGTGAAGACAGATAATTACAGAATTACAGATTGCTGTTACAAGCGAAATATAAAAATTTGTATGCTTATTCGTACTATGTAACAGTGCATATACGTAACCTTTCTACTTACTGTTCTACTAATAGTAATATAAAATAAAATTAAAATATAGACTATCAAATCTAATATATCCACCATGAAATAAGATTATGGTCATATAGATAATTTCTAAAATTTTCTGACAAAGAGAGATTATTGTATAATGCATTAAATCCATATACTAGGATTAATCTTTGGAAAGCGAAGGTAATGTAATCTAAGAACTATGCACTAAATTTGAAACGTATGCGATGTATTGAAAGTTTTAAAAGTTTCTTTCAAGTTTCAGATATTTAATCTAAATTGGAGATATATTAGTAAAACATGAAATGAAATATATATATTTACATTATAATTTTTAAACATATTCGTATTTTTAAACATTATTAAGTAAATTTCTAAATAATTGAGAATATACTGCTTCTTATTAAATAGGTACGAAATGTTTTTATTAGCGAGAAGCTATTAAAAGTGATGGTTGACAAATTGTATCGATATACCACAAGTTGACGAAGTATACCAGTAATAATTTAACAAAGCAAATTCTTCACTGCGATCTTCAAGAGAAGTTCCTTGGAATTGGAATTGTTGTAACGAACGCAGCTGCATTTATAACATGCGACATAAGTAAACTCTTTTATATACTAAGATATTTGATTAATGCTAAGTATGTAAGAAATCTAAAAAGCTTTTAAAATCGTATATTTATCATTGCACTATTGATTTTTCTACCATTTCGAAATGTACAATTTTGAGAATAATTGCTATATCTTCGTCCTTAAATAATGGAGCAACTAGCGAAAAAATAGAAGAAAAGGCGAAGGAACGATGCAGAATATTAATGATGTGCACGTGATTCATCTACATGTTTCAGTTTTGTTGTATATTTCACAATCGAACATTTTCTTTTCTCTTCTATCGTACTCTTGTATCTTGTGACGTGACTGTTTCTCGTGGGAGATAAGAGCAAGACGAAATGCGGTTTCTAGCATTTCGCAAACAAAAAAGGACGAAACTGTTCGCTTTTCTTCTGTTTTCTTGTTTTTAAATAGAGATGAAAGATAAAAAGACATATCTATAGAATTTATTCTATTTCCATTACACTATTTTCATCTAAATCAATTGACTTACTTAATAAATTCTTCTTGTTTACAGGCATAGCTAACAGAGATTTGGATAGTCTAATATGGCTTATTTTCATTCTTTTCCTTAGCTCTAATACTTCCTTTAAATCTTTCTCGCCAAACTTTATAAATTTAAAATTATTTGCACACTGTAATTCATTATTCCAATTGAATAACATTTCACATTGAGTTGCATTTAAAATATCAGAAATTTCTGAAAAATAAAGGAGGGTTTGTACATCAGGATATATTGAAAATAAATTTGGCTGTAATTCTTTACCTATTCCACGTGTATGATATTCTCCTAGTTCTTTCTACTCTAATTATATGTTCCCTCCTAGCATGCTGTCTACTCCTGTTGCTATTTATAGACCTTTTAATAGTAATTTCTTCCATTTCTTCATTATTTCTTGCTACATACCTTTGGATCAAATATAGAACTATAACTAATCACATCTTTAATGTACAATCTCTGTATCATCATGTATATACATTTTTGTTTTACCTCCGTTTCTAACAAACTTGCAGTTAACTCTGGAGTATAGGGACACACGCCTGGAATCATATTGTTTCTGATCCACGATATTTTCTCTCTTATTGAATTCTGTTTTATCAAGCAGGACATTTCTGCCTTCTGTCTATTTGATATTCTGAAACAAAACACATTGTCCATTTCCTTCTTTATTACACAAAAGTATTATATAATCATATAAAATAAATGAAATGTACATAACAAAATCACATAATTTAATAGTAATTGTATTTACTTTTTGGCTTTTTTCGTAATAGCGATAGACTTTCTGCTATTTGGATGTATCATTTTCTTTGGCTTCAGGAATTCTTTTCTCATTGCAGTGGCCTATAAAAGACAACAAAATAAATTAGTTAAAATATTACCATGGCTATGAATTATTTCGATTATTCTAATCATCAAAACTCCAACTCAGGCTATACGTTTACTCAATGTATAATCATGCACAGGCGAATCGTCGACAGTATCACACGCTTAAAAGCACTAATAGAGTAGACAAAACATCCTACATGCCACAGCTATCGAAACAATAACCAGATAGCAACGGATAGGCGCCTCTGATATACACCCGACGATAACCGCTTCAGAGGGACTAAAACCTCAGTACAAGAAGTCTCCCAAATCAGCGTTCTATACCTCTTTGTTATAACACTCTGAACCGTCACTCTGTTGGATTCATACAATAAATTTTACCACTATATCTAAAGTTTAATTCTTTAACTTATTTGTGAAACGTTCGAACTGCGACTCGAGGAGATCAACGGTGATTTGTCAATTTCGTGATTTGTTGTGTCTCGTATGTGACAACAGCAACGACGGCGACGTCTATCGATAGTAAAAGTAATATCGAAGTATACCTTCTTACCATGACATTTCCGGGCTAACAAACTTCAAAATTGGTTTCTTTTGTTTCAAGATATTTTTAGCTATTTTTTTTTAATCTTATAATGATAACCTATTTTAAAATGAACAATGTTTGATAAATGTACATTAGTAAAATTTCATACGAACAAAGTTTTTGGGAATCCGTATTATATCCAGCGAGCAGAAAACGAAGACTTGACGGAAGTTGACAACAATGGAGATAAAAGTCTTTATCGTAATATTGTTTTTATTGATTTTAACATCAGATGGGTTTCGACAGAAAACGATCCACCAAATGTCAAAGAGGTAACGAGCAAACTTCAAGTAAAAACGAGCAGAAGTCAACACCCGATTATTATTATTACTGCGACTCAACAGAGTTTGGAGTAGTATTATACAAAAGATTCCGTATTTGCGTTCTTGTTCACCGTGCGACATGATAGAAATTGATTTCTCTTCCGCTTGTATCAGATGCGGGATGTGCCTTGCCATTGCTGAAAAGGGTGATCCTTTTTCACCGGTCTCGATTATCCTATTTCTCTTTATTCGCCTATTTTTTAAACACAAATATAGATTTTTTACGATTATTTATATTGTTCATGACATCATTTGACGAATTCTTCGAGAACTTCGCAAGGGAACCATGACATAAATGATATTTAAAACGTTTATAACAGTTCTGAAGTAAAGAGAAGCGATATTAGTTTGAAATGATGGATCATTTCAATGATTTTATTATTTATTGCCTTAATAGCTATCTACATATTATTTTAGTTGCGTTTTTCTTTTGGATCGGAAATGACTATCCTGTGTTTCGTCAATAATTTGTCTTGCTTCTCTTGGTGCATTTCTAAAAGTGGTATTGACATAAATGAATTTTTTACTGCAAGAATCAACATCACTTTTTTTCGACTTCTCTTTTAGGTTACAAGAGTACACAGCTATATGTAGGCCAAAACATGTATGTATTTTTCGATAAAAGATAAATTTTTATTCAAAACCTACGAGACTGCACGCAGATATTTCAAATAGCAGCGAATATTATCACGAATACTTCGCGTTAAACATGTTATATTTTTTAACATTTTCAGAGACGCGTAAACATCTGCAAGCTATTTATCACTTTATTCGATTGCATATTGTTGCGGCATATGAGTCATAGGACGATGCGAATCGAGAGTAACTCATGTTGTTGTTTTGCCTCGGGGCATTGATACCGTCTCGAGGTACGAAACTTGACAATAAACAAACTCCGGACAGAACAATATCGCCGCTACGCGCAACCGTCAACCGAAGTCGAATTTAAATTCGTTAGAAGGAGATCGTTAGAAGAGTACTGCCGATAGTTTTAAATACATTTGACTACACCAAATATCAACTCGTCTCATCACTATATACACCAACGCGTTTAATCAACCTCCACATAACCGAGAAATGATTTCAAATTTGACCCACGTTTCTATCGACTTCGCTTTCTTCTTTATTTTGGAAGAAATGCACATTCACTATTTATCAGCTAAGCGAACTCGAAACGAATGAAAATTCCCAACCCCCACGTAGACCAAAGCCTATCAGCCTTTTCCGAACCTGTAGGTTACAACGAGATTCTTAATTAATTAATTCGTTTCTTACAGGCTACAGAGTCTGAGAATAAAGAATTTTTTTGACCGTTTTGTTACGACCTATGTTAAAACCACATCATAGGAATAAGATAATAATACAGATCGTAATCATTATATATCGGCACATATTATCAATTTGATTGTGCAATTAAATAACATAATATCAAAAGTAATCAAATGTTGGGATACTTTTGCGCGATAGTGTATATGTGTAAAATAATATGATTCTATAAATTCATTCACAATAAATCAAAAACAATGTTGTGTTGCTTATTCTAGTAAACAATCCAACCATTTAACTGTAAGATATTTGGAAAGTTCGTGTAACAAGCATACAATATGCCACCCGGAAGGTACCAACTACGTTCCTCTATGAAATTAGTACAAATGTTTCAAGACTTATATATTATTAACATTTCACGCAGCGTTTTTATAAGATACGTTAATCCGCAGAAATGACCCGTCGCAGTAAATTTATACATAGATCAGAGTTAGAAAATACAAAAGAACGATATTTTCCCTGAGTATACGAAGTTAAAATGGTGTTGGACGCAAATTAATTGGTTGGAAAGAGGCGTACTAAAGCGTACTTGAAGCGTACTAAAAGAGGTAGCTTACCTCGTTGAAATACCATGGAACGAAACCCTGTTGGGCAATGGGCATTCTGCTGTAGCCTGGAATTCCTTTTGCTCCCGTATTCTTCTTCTGTTTTCCGTGGTTTTTGTTACAATACTCGCGACGTTTTCATTCAAACGAGCACACAACGCATAAACGGAGAAAAACGTTGAAGGTTGTGTCGCGTCGTGTTGTATATATATATATGTATGTGTATATTCGTGTGTGTGTGTGTGTGTGTGTGTGTATTCATATATATATTATAAATTGGTTATACATATATATATATAACCAATTTATATATATATATATAATATATATATA